ACAGTTCCTGTGTATCTAAAATATACTCATTTGCCATTGACAGTTCAACTGCTCCCTTAGAATACTCTGCAAATTTTCCCCTACATAGGAAATCCCTTTTTTACGCCTTTCGGATTGTGAATTAATCTTCTTTAAGCACACACCGAGTTTTGCAATGAACTATGTTTCGAGTTTCAGCTAGAATCGCGGTTTCATGGTAACTTTTTCCCTAGTTTCCGTTTTAAAAGGTTTATGGAAATGTGACTTTAAACAGCTAAGAAACCGCACGTAGTTTAAGCTTTGGTGGGGCCGCCTTCTTAATAACCGTTGCCGTGACTGAAAAACAGGGAAAGCAGTTTAGCTGTCAACACAACAAGAAAACGAGAATAGCTTATTTGCTTGTCTAAAAAGTCAAAAGCACACCATTTTGATCACCTTTTGAATATAGCTTTTTTCTTATTTCAACTAAATTAACATTTTAAATGCGATTAAACCTTGAAATTTCCACGGTCACTGATTATAATATAACTAATCTGCGAAATATAGTTGTGAATCTAAGGAAATCTTTCTTTGAAAGATACCCAGCGTTGTACTAATTTTGCCCCCTTTATCAATTTTAAGATTGCATTGTCTAAGATGAACCATGTAAAACGGGGATCATGCAAATGACAAATCATATCAGATTTTGAAAGCAAGACTTAGGCCCCGTCCAAACTCTACCGGATAAATTCAATGGATGAAAAAAACCAAAAAGAGGGAAGAGGGAAACAATTTTTTTGTGACCACATCACAACGATCATAGGCTGTAAAATTACTTGACTGCATCCTTGTGCGTGCGATTAAAGTAGAACTCGTTTCCTTTAAGGGGGAAATTATCCAAATTAGAGTGGACGGTTGGCTTCACTATAATTACAAAGTCAGAAGCAAAACGAAACGTTATTGCTCCGAACAATGACTGTGCATATACGTATTACAAAAGTTTCTACATTTCTTAGCCGTTCTCTGAAAAACGGCAAGGCCAAACCACCTAAATTTGTGTCAGACCACTCGCTAAATTCTCAAGGCCAATATCAGTTAATGTTTAAACTGACACTTTCTAAGTACTGCTTTGGCAACTGATAAAGCTTTCTATTGTCTCTGGAAGACAGTCGTCATGATGATAACATGATCTAAACGTGCCAGTAATGCGATAAAAGAGCGGAAACAGTATTCCACTTCTAAGAGGGAAAACCACCTTTGCTATAATGTGTAACTTAAGATGACAAGATGATAGGATAAATACATTTAAATAATTTTGATAACTTTCACCAATTTTCAGCACCGTACAGGCACTATCTCTTGTTGTCATTTTCTACGTTGAGCATTATCACCATTTTGAATTAGTTCTACGTCTTCACTTATGTTCAGGACTAACCTAACAAAGTGCTGTTTGTTACTTACTTCAAATAACTTCGCAAATTACAGGAAATATATTCATCTCCTGTTTGACGCAGTTGTGTTTGGTTTGGTTGAGTTTTTTCAATGAGAACACCACGTAGTGTCTATTGTAAAAAGAATAATCTCATGGACGGTCAATCCCGGAGATACCTCAAAGAAGAGACAGCAGCGTATGAATCCAGGGGTAATCGGCCTTTTACAAGTCTTATGAGCAGCAAGATTTAGCTGTCTGCTTGTGTTCTTTGAAGTGTGCCCTTATTCGCCCACTTTCGCCACAATAATTAACAATAAAGACCGAGGATTTTAGAATAATCTCTTTTTGTTTAATTTGCTCACTTGAGCATGAACAGCGTTCAGGCTTACGGAATGAAGCATAAAAAGATTGCAAGTCTTTGGCAAAGTCCAGAAAGCAAGCTACAATAAAAATTGGATTTTTGTGGTGGTCTTCGAGATAGGGATACAGCACTTAACCAAAACTGTTCTTTCTTGAAGGAGCACGCTTTGACTACATCTTACAAAAACATGTTTTATCAACGAAACCAAGGCAGTAAAACGGTAAATTCCAACCTCTACACTTACGCTTCTTGGTTAAAAGGATCTGAGAAAAAACCTTTCAAATGGAAATCAATGTTTCAGTCATCACTGATATTAGTGGTCTTCATTCAGGTTATCTTCACTCTCCATATTCTCATCAGCCATTATATTCATTTCTTCAAAATATTCAATCCAGTTTATAGGTTTCGAATCATTTGAGGATTGTCCAGGATTTTTTAACGTCATTGGATCTTTTAGTCGATCAAATCGTCCAAAAATTCTCGCGCTCGTCATTTCTTTACTCGCGGACATTGAAGTAGGGAATTCCTTGGGTTTATCATTGACAAGTCCAAAAAGATCTATTACGATAAATCGTCCAAAAGCAGTCAAACAGACAACCCTATCCTCTGAGGGGCACACGGCCATGCCCAAGATACTTTCTCGTCCTTGCGCAACTATGGTATATGCAGCAGCTTTCCACTCACCCAAATCCCACAACAACACTGTGCAATCCACGCCATAGGAGATTAGGTAACGACGTCCTTTCAAAAACTGACAGAATTCAATACGTCCAAAGTGACCGCGTGGTAATTCCATGAGGCTGGGCTTTTTAGGAGTATTAAGCGCGTGGACGAGAATTCTGTCGGCAATGGAGCAGGCGAGTGCCTCATTGTCTGACGACACTGTGCAGTGGGTGAATTTGTCAAACTCTCGGAAAGGGCCAGGAGGTTCCAAGGTTAATAACGGACAAAGTGGTTGCTCATCGTATTCGAAGATTGAGATTTGAAACGCGCCACAGATTATTAATTTCTTTTCATCCCTTGAGAAGCACCAACAGTGCACCGGCTGAAAGCCCAGAGGGGAGTCAAAAGATGCCATCAAAACCTCCTTATGGACATTCCAAACAAAGAAACACGGAGAGCTATCAGCCATCTGCGTACAAAAGAGAAGTGAAGTGCCGTCCACTGAAAATGTAAGAAAAGTAACTCGACACTCATGATCTGCCGCCCTCACGACTACTGGAGTGGCCTTATCTCCGAAAAACAACAAAATCTCATCACCTCTTTCCCTAGCCAGTAATTTTTCGCCCAACGCAGAAGAACAGAATATGTATTTGTAGCATGGTTCACCGGTGAGGACTGACAAGACACCATATCGGAATCTGCTATTTTTGTTTGTTTCAACAACACTGAGATATTTTCAAGGAAGACTTGGTTGTTAAACGAAAAGAACGCCATCTCAATTTGTTTCGCTTCATATGAAAACAACAGAAACCTCAGAAGGCTTGTAGGAAAGTCCTTTATCAAGATGATCCTCTCCATTTGATTGGCACGAAAAAAAAAGCCAGCTTGGTTTCCAGGTTCAAGGTGCAATGGGATTAGTCCCGAAACACTTGACAAGATGCTACCAGTCTTCAGAATGAGGGCTTCCAGAGACTTGTTCGTCGTGATGTAAAGAAAAATGCGACTGTCATCAGTGAAAGCAAACTGATTCACTTGCGCGACAACGTAGATGGGGTTTTGAAAATTAAAATCCTCGCAGTCGGACACCCTCTCAAACAAATTGCATTTCACATTGTTAAGTGCAATCCACTTGCGATCTAAAGTAATCTTTGACCGCTCTATGCAGGGATTATTTTGGAATTTTGGGGCATGCGTGATTAAATATAGCTCCCATGATAACGGACCACAAAGTCGGCGGTCATGGGAACCGCTAAACCGACTTGGACTACGGCATTCTGTCCTCCACGTTTTGAGCAAAGAACACGCGTTTAAACTTGCAAACGCACTAAGAGAAAAGCGTTCATTCCTGCCATGAAAATGTTCCCTCATTATCAAATTGGAGACCAAGAAGGTCAAGTGACAAAGATAGAAATATGGATTCAATTAGACATCCGCTGAAAACGTTTCTTCTAGTACAGGTCTTCCGGTCTCCATATTCCAAACCTGAGTAGGAAAAATGTCGGCGTAGAGGTCGATAACACGCTGACGAACTGTCTCGTGGTATCTTTGTTTAAATGATAGGCATCTTCTGGGAAAGAAGCCGTGATAGTGATGTGGCAGAATTTCATGACGAAGAAACATCTGAACGCCACTTTTCCTCAAGAGTTCAGAATCAAACGGAAACCCTATATGTTCCAACAATTTACACAGAGAATCAACTTCGAAACTATCCACTCGTTGAATCTCATCTGCGGCCCATGAACAGAATATTTCTACCAAGCAAGACTTACAAAGGGGTATACTACGAGACCGTGATTCAACAACAACAAACTGGCTATCAAAAATAAATGAACCCCAAACATAAGAATGGTTATTGTTTGCAAATTGAGGTAACTCCCTCACACAACCCTGCGGCAAAGAGAACATTTTGCTAAGCCGTCCGAAAAATAAAAACTTACTGTCCGGGCTAAACTCAAGATGATCAATTTCTTCTTCCACAGTCGACTCTTGAACCTTCTCAAGTGTACACGCATCCAATAAATAAATGTGCGAATTCCTTCCACCGGCTGCCAGCAATTTCTTATCAGGAGACATCGCAAAGTAGTGCATGTCTTCTGGAATTTTACAAGACAGACAACGAAGCCAGCTGCACTCCATGCCAATGTTTGAAACAGCAGCAGGAATCTTTAATTTCCTTTGTACCGGTTGGGACGTGTTGCTGAAGCATAAATGTAGAAGGTGTTGACATTCCAAAAGAACATGACTGTTGGTCTCAAGGGCAAGACATATCTCTTGCAGAACTACTTTTTGCTCGTCGCTGAGCCCGTGAAAACGAACTGAGAGCTTGAGATCAGTGATTACAGCGTATATTTCTCTGCCCTTTCTTTCTATCCTCTTCCAAAGAAACTGGTAACATGTTAAGCAATTGAAAACGACGTTCAGCGAGTCTCTGTCTTGGTAATAACGCAAGAAACGGACACCAACACCAACGAAGTAATCAAGTAAGATCGAGGGTTTTTCCCATTGCTGACATTTAATGGCAGCTGAGAGAATTTCAACCACAACATCCCTGAAATACTAACCTGCTTCATTCTTTTCAATAAACAATTACCAGGAAGACTCCTTTTCAGTAAACAATTCTGATATTAGATTGTGACGAAAGTCGAACGATTTATCAAAATCAAAAAATGAGGAAAGGGCATCGATTACTTTCCATTCCTCAAGATTTGATTTTTCCCTCTGTAAAATGAACGCGATAAACGCTAATGGAAGTGGAGAAGGGGCCACTATCGCACAACCAAACAGCTTCTTGAATAGATTCTCCCCTACTTTCTGAAACACCCTGCTAACATTTTCCAAAAGGTAATCCTGAATATCTCCTTGGAAAACATCGTCGAGCTGAATAATCTCACCGGAAAGTGCTGCAGCATTTAAATCTTTTACAATATGGAAGGCACACAAAAACATTCCTTTGCACTTTTCTACTACGTCATCCGCTGAGTAGGGAAAACGGGAGAAGTCGACGCTCTTTTCTAGAAATAGCTTTATGTCCTGCTCGTGCTGTCTATAAAACTCTAGGTTCTCGCCGTTTTTCGCACAGATTTTAATACAGGGATTGTAATTTTTGAATCTGAACTTCACGGCGTCTACTGGGCGACTGGTAATAAAGAACACAAGCCATTTCGGAAGCATTGGAAAGCGGCGTGTGATAACATCGAGAAAATCTTCCCTGGACTCATATTTTGTCTCATCAAGAGCGTCAATAACGATCAACTTTCTCTCGCAAGGGGTATTGCATTTGGTCAATGGCTCTTGTAACAATTTTGTAAACAATCCCTGTATGCCTATTTTAGAATTGCTTAAAAACTTTCTGATGCCACCCTCCCCTCCCACAAAGTTACTATACTGAGCATTACATTTGCAAAGTTGACAAGCGATGGTCCCTAGAAGATACCTGGGATTGTTTCTTGTGTCATCTCTGTCGCGGCAGAAATAGGCAGCTGCCAAGTTTCCCTCCGCGGCTGAATTCTTGGCCAGGACACCGGCCATCACACTCTTGCCAACTCCTGCATCGCCAAGAAGCATATAAGCTCTCGTCTTTTCAGGATTCTTAAACCATCTATCGAAATCATCCAAAAACCACTTTCTTGTATCTGGATGATGACGCTCAGCAAAAAAGTTAATGTCTCCATCACAAATGGCAATCTCTGAAGCATTGAACAGAAGATATGTTAAGGTTTAAATTTGTTACCGGAAAATTTACTGATTTTTCCCGTTTGTGTTATTCGGTACATATTCATTCGTAAACTTTCACATTTAACCATTTCAAGTCCTTTCATTTTAATAAATCAAAAAATGCATAAAAAACCACAGTAGCTTTTGAATAGATTTTTGTTATTACTCGCTTTCATCACATGCACCTGCTGGTCGGCACTTTTGTCATTTATTACATGGGTTTTTTTTAGGTAAATATAAGTGTTGATGGTCTTTCTGGAAACATTGGTTTTCATGGTGGATAGCAGCTGAGTTTATACTCGTAAATCTAATTTCTTTTCATGCGATAGTTTCCAAACCAACCGTGCATAGATAAGCAGAAACTTTTAATTGCTTTTCCGTTTTTTTTATCTCCCGAGCTGCGCTACTGCAATTAAGATAGGTAGTTTTCTATATCAGAGCTGTAAAATTGCACCTAAGTTTCCTACGTTAATGGCCTAGAGTTTATTGCATCCGTCTTTTTAATTTTGAGATTCTATCCGTCGTAGAAACAGATGGAATATTTAAGTAGTTTTCGTTTAACTTCAAAGAGACTTTTTTCCGTTCCTTTGTGTCATTCAAATATTACGATTTGTGTAACAATAGCACTTCACACCAGTTACTTCTTAAGCAAGTACCTTGTACAGCTTTGATGATTACAAACTAGAGTATGCTAGAGGTCATGTCGCTTGTTGGCCTGACCTAGAATAAAAGTACTGTGGAACCAAAGATTGTCTTATCCTTGACGTCCGTATAAGCTCGCTCGAAGTAGATCTCCGTGTACCAGGAAATCGTGACGAGTTTCCGTTCTCGCTGCCAAGTCATCTCTACAGAGTTATTCCCCCCAGTTGTTATTGTTCCGTCCGCGAAGATTCAGTTTTCCAGTTTTGGGGCGAAAATTTATCGTCGCAAATTTACCCAAACTGCTTTGAACGACTGTCCTATGTTAAACATAAAAACAAAAACGACGAGGAGTTTCTCCTAGAAGCTTCTTATACTACAAGTTAGCCGATCGATTTTATTCGTGGACTTGCGTGGCATATGGATCTTGAAAGTCACTTAGGCAACTACTTGTGCAGTTGTAAAGTACCAACAGGAACAAAACCTGTAACACTCAACTCCACGGAACTCAGTTTCAGTTTCGCAAGTTTGAAAATCTCTTCCACATCGAGTTGCTTTAAAGTTCCAAAACACTATAGTGGAATCTTTGGAAGAGTTTTAAGCCTAGAAATGTAACTCATTAGCACACCTTGTGGTTCGCATACAAAGAAGAAAAAGTATGAATGCATTCAAGGGAGATCTCAACTGAAAGATCTGTTACCAAAGTAAATCTGTCCTAGCTATGAATTTCGAAAAACATGTAGCGAGAGGGTGTTTTCAAGTAAGCTGAGATAAAATGAAACGCTCACATTACCATGGAAGATTTGGGTGCCGCTTTGACCTTCCAAACAAGTGACGCGTCGTTCCAGTGACGAAACTCTTTTTTCCAATTTCTCAAGAGCTGTTATAATATTCAGAACTACAGAGTGGCATTACTGTCTTAATTCCTCTTTTTCAAATGCTAGGGTATCAACATCGTTCTTCAGAGCGATGGCATGTTGTTGAACAGCCTTTACCAGATCAGGGTCGACAGTAGCGTTCATGCACAGTATGACTCCTGTGTGGAGAGAACCATACGGTAATGAGATAGGTCAAGGCTGGTGCTTCTCATGAGATACAACTTAAATTTTGCAAGCAAGTTACTTGCAATCCATGTAAATCACCTCATCATTTACTCTTCGTGTTTGATTTTCTTATAAGTAAGATTTTTTTCCAACCCTAGATACCAATTACCTTTAAATTTTCATTCAAATTGACGACAATTTTTGGCGATATGGCCAAAGAAGTAGCTCAAAATATCGTGACATAACTGCTTCAACCCGTAGTATGCATTCTCAAAGAGCTCTCTGAGTGTGTCTGCATTGCTTCTCAAGGGAGTAGGGAAGTAATCAGCAGTAAACATTTCCACCTGGTCGATTGTGAGGCAATGTGTTAAATCATAGAATACTTTAAAGAGTATTAGTATAATTGTTCCGGTAATTATAGAGATGTGCGCGCTCTGATTGGTCGAGGATTGCGTCATACCTCGCATAATCACCTCGCGCGCGGTGATTATACCAGGGGCACTAAAATTCAAAATAGCGGCCTCCCGTTTTGTCAATGTTATTCAGGAAGTAATGAAACCAATTGAAGAAAATATAATGTGAAGATTTTCGCTGATTGAATTATATAATTCTTGTGGAGACTTACCGCTTATCTCGATTCGAGTAATCAAAACAATTGTAACAGCAAGGTTTCAACAACAACAAAAAAATAACAAAAGAAAACGAGAGCACCTGTGCAATTATACTAGAACAATTATTCGACTCATGCTCAGTGAATGTTGTTGACTAATGACTTCGACTTTCGTCTCAGGGATGATCCAACGATGTTCACTTCGCCTTCAGCGAATAATTGTTAAATACAAGTTACCTTTGTTTTTCCAATCTTTCAGTTCTCTTATGATGCCACTCTCCTCAGTACTTGGCAGACCCAGGGATTTCACCAGCTGCTCCATTTTAACAAAGCTCGGCTGAAAACCTATTTCGTTCCACTCAATGAACTTACAGTGTGCCCAGTCATTCCTGGGCGAGTGTAAGTTGCCAGCTGCAGTCTGGACATCAGGAGAAAACACAGGAACTTTACCAAGCAATGCAAACAAAGCTGACGCATCACAACGTTCGTCAAATGCGTTAAATTTGGCCATGTAGTTCTCCACAAACAGCTTGGCAAAGTCAATATGTGACTTCACCCGGTAGTCAAACGTGGGATAGTCATACTTTCCGTCAGGCGTCTTGAATGTGTAGTTTCTATTGATATTCTCATATTTGAGAGAAGTCGCTGTGTACTTTTCGGGCCAGTTGTATCTCTCAGTATGGATTTTATGGTCGGTTATAAGCTTTTGGTACTCCTTCCGAATCTCTTGTTCAACAAACGGTCGTATTTTTGGGACCAGAACCTTGTTTAGAGCAACCCCGAAGACTATCCATCTTTTCTCGTTGTCAAAAACGTTCATTATAGAATTCCAAAGATGAGGCTGTCAACAGATTAAGGCAAAAAAACCGAGCTCTAAAAGGAAAAAAAAGATAATCCTTTATTAAACGATTAATTCAATTGATTAATTGACCGAACGAATCATTTATTAATCGAAGGTTGATTAGTTTATTAACTCATTATTTATTAGTTATTAACTATTAATGCATTTTACTTTCTGCTTTCAGGAATCAACCCATAAAATTATGAAGGGGTTTATGGTCCATTGTCCACTTTAATCACTTTAATCCTCAAATTCCCTCTCCAATTAACTCCACATAAAATATCATACATATTAGGTTTAATTGCAAAATAAATTACCTTACAGGCATGATTCACTTTCAAAGAAAGGATTTTGAGCTTTCCCAGCTTGGCTCAAGACTCAAGCTACCATTATAGCAATGAATTGAACTTCTTCAGTCCTAAACGTATTTCAGGCCTGGTGTCACTAAACAAAAGCCACTAAATAAAAAAAAAATCAGGAGCTGCACACCTACAGTGGTTCTTCATTCTGTACATTCTCAGTTGGATTGAAATTTGAAGCAATACTGTTGTGGAAGGAGAGAAATGATTTATTGCAAGGAGAAAAACTTTTGAGAAAGGACAAAAAGAAACTACTGCACACTGAATGCACATGTGAGAAAGGGATTAGTAATCACACCCAAGCCATAGAAAAGGAAGGGAAGTTCCCTACGGTATCATCCTAAACTGGAGTTGTACTGTGCATAGGGCCCTTTTAGGTCCTTCAGTGAAAAAAAAGAAGAAAAAGCACACACACCAAAGCAAGTCCATCAATACTGGAACTGAAAAAGACTCATACTGAATCAGCACTCTTCCTGGGTCAATAGATTGGAACCATACATGTATGTGTCATGCAGTATGGACAAAAATAAATCATGTCATCATTTTCTCTAAAAAGTCACATCTCAATCTGATCAATATAATACATCTTAGCAAAAGGAATCCAAATTTAGCCAAACAACACAAAAATTAAAAAAAGAAAATTTATACAAGAAGGTCAGTATAGTGACCCTATAGGATCATTATATTTGTGATCTATGAAGCTGTGCCTGGCCATTAAAGTGAAACAACACTGATAAGAAGACAACTAATATAAAGTTGAACCTCCAATATCCAGATTTGTGGATACTGGGTTAAATAGCCCAGAAATTTTGAGAGTCCGGATAATTGAAAATATTATTATAAATGAGTTATAAAGATAGCTGAATTGACATTATTTAGGCACTATTTAACAAGAATCAAAGTACATTGTCATGTCATTTTGTGTCATTGCCAAAATTTGCCAAAGTATATACAAAAATGTTTTACAATGACAATGTTTTATGAGCTAAAATGCTGAAGTAAATAAGTTTGTTTTAAGCCGATACTGACAAGGTATAAATGTTGTAAATCATATCATACTTTGAGGCTGCATTAATGAAGTAGCGTCAACATTGATTGAGTACATCTTCTTTGTTTGCTGGGAAAAAACCCCGGAAGGAGAATGCAATGTAAAATATGTTCGATTCCGAGAGATGGCTAGAGGCGAAATGGATTTCATTTGATCCTTAAACCGCGGTTAATTTCGCTGAATATTGAAGAATTCCCTTGAGTTCTGTGGTAGAGAATATCAAAAACAGCCCCTCATCAGTCATCAATAGAAGACAGGTACCCAGCACACACGCGCTGCTTGGTTCAGTTGTTTTCACATAAAAATCGTT